GGTGGCATGCAATTTAGAAACTCGTATTTTTATTACTGTTACAAGTCATTTAAATGGCTGTATTTTAATTTCAATCTCGTTTCTTTGTCCAGTCCAAAATATAAGTCCTCTTGTTCCCTCTTTACAAGGCGTCCTCAGAATAAGGAACAACTCATTTGTCGCTTCAAATTAGTGAAGTCTTATGGGAAGGAAGGAAAGTGATATGTCCTCGCTCAGTGTTTATGGGAGTATAATCATATCCTCCCACCTGCCCCCACAAAAAGAATAATTTTCTCTTTTACCCTTGAACCATAAAGTAGTCATGAATGTGGTATAACTTCTGACTTATTTGTAATGTTGGTCCGAAAAATGAACAGAGACCAATTATTCCATAAGAACTGCGTCCCGTTATAAGCATCAGTAAATGATTCGCTATAGCTCCCTATTATTATACGATAAGTATTTGTTTTGCAAGGATTTAATAAACTTAACTCCTTTTGAAATGTAATGAGAAGTAGGAGATGTTAAAAGCAAATGGGATACTGCTAATGAATCTGAGGGTTTTATTTTCGTAGTTTAACACTTTCAGCGGTACTGAACATGTTTACACAACAGAATAAATACGATTGTCTATGATAGATTACTGTTAAAACTAGGGAATACTTAGAATAATGCTTAGGAGTGCTCAAAGAATTACCTCTAATGGCACTGTAAGGGTTAGGGGTCCTTCAATGAATCGATTTTCTTTCTCGTAAGTAGAAACCGTGAGCTAGAAAACTGAATAACGTGAACAAGAAACCGTTTCGCTTCGAGGTATCGAGGGTGAAAGTCGCCTTCCTCCGTCAACATTCTTTTCTCGTTTTCATTCTCGATTGTAAACGTCTTGTATCAGTTGCTTTGCCTTATGAAGGAAAGTGACAAGGTTAAATATCTTGTGAGGAAAGTAATTATCAATTGCCTTGGATTACACGAGACATAACAAGGAGCATTCACGAGATGAACCTGTCAAAATAAATATAACGGATATTCAATGGCAGTATTAATTATGCTCCGTCCAAGAGCCAATTTGGTTCTGCACACTTCCTCGTCTACTCTGTAAAGGTAAACTGTCTACCATAAAAAATATCTCCGGATTTCAGCAAATGATAATGAATGAATCACTGAATGAATTTATTTTTATTATTCTATGGCTCTCCGGTCCGTATTCGGTCCATGGCCTCCTCAATTCGGTCCTCTGTTAGGTCCGTCTGTCCGAGGCTTTGATCGAGGTTTCAAAACATCTTCTTTTTTACGGTGCAAGGTTGTTAGTCTTGCGACCAACCCCCAACCTGGAGGACCAGGGTACCTGTCTTAGTCTGACCTCTCCCTCTCGACCAATCTGGCTAGGGAGGCCCTACCTACCGCCAGCATAGCTCTTGGAGTCACTGAGGTACTCAAGCCCCACCACCAGGACAAGGTGCAGGTAACTGTCTACCATAAAAAATATCTCCGGCTTTCAGCAAATGATAATGAATGAACCACTGAATGAATTAAGTACAAGTAAGTAAGTAAGTAAGTAAGTGAGTCAGTGAGTGAGTAAGTAATTAAGTAAGTAAATAAGTAAGTAAGTAAGTATGTACGTGTGAATGTGTGTGTGTGTGTTTGTATCCTTTCGAAATGAGAATCAGTGTTAATTCTCCGCAAGACGTAAAGAATTCTTGAGTACGTGGTCCGACCTTCAAGTGTAGTTTTTCTCTATTTCACAATAACACGGCCAAATCTAGAAAGTAAAAACTGCCGATTTTTTGAGGAGTGACAAATAGTGTACGTTACGCGGCGAGAGTTGACGGTGGGTGGGCGGTTGGTAACCTAGTTGTAGAGCGCAGTGCATTGAACTTTTAGTCATCCGGAGCCTTTAGTACAACGATAGCATATAGGCCGGATGACCACATATTTCCTTGCACCACTCTTGCTTTCAACACCAAGTTTCAATTTCATCTTGCCCTAGTTCCGACAGCGAGAGGTGAATGCACTAGCCTCTACCACAGGCATCAATGACCTCCTTTTACAATATAAGCAACCGCAAACCAATGAGAGAGAGCTTTAAATAAAGGCCTCTGTCGAGAGGCTAATCGGTTATCTTGGTTTTTACAGCCAGGAGAGAAAAGCAAGGCTGAGGGCAATGTCCTAGCCTCAACAGAAGCCCGAGTTGACCTAGATATGTTACCACGTAAAGACTAGAGTTTCGAAAAGTGAAAACGAGCAGCGCTCCTACAGGGCCCTGAGAGAGAGTGGAGTAAGACATGGCAGCATCTGCGTCACTCAGTACTAGGAAAACGCAAGTCAGTTGAACATTGCAAGAAAAACGAGCCAATCGCTTGGCTCAAGGCCCAGTTAACTGTAAAGACCAGTGTTCCCTGTCTTCCACTTTTATAAACAGTTCAGTTAGCCCTACGTGTACATCAACTCAAGTTTTATTGAAGCAGATTAACAGTATCACAATTTATACTGAATAAATCCGTACAATTTTTTTTTCCATTCCAAACAACAGAATACATCGTAACCATTCTCTCTCTCTCTATCGAGGGAATTTTTTATGTAATGGTTTGTTTCTGCCTCGTAAGCAATTTCTACGTCTTTTCTGGTTTCGATATTTTTCAGGCGTTTCGACTTTTATTCCGTGTCATCCCTTATCTTACTGTAACAGTGTTCAATAAAAAAATTACCATCTGACACTCCCCAAAGGATATTTAAAGCAAATGGCCGCGGAATTTAGAAAAGCGATACTTAAAAAAATAACGTATCTGGTTGTTATTTTTCGAGATAAATCAATATTTGAATGGAGAACGCTGAATATTAGACTATTTACTTAATCATTAAACTTACCACATGTTGTCGCCATACCGATTCTTAGAATAAGAAGAGTCATTTTAAATCTTAATAATAAAACACCTCTCCAAATATTCCAATGCAAACACAGCATATCACTAATTGTTCACTGTTACTCAAACACACAGTGTTGGTACATTAGTAAAAAATGCTAATTATGAAATGTCTCCGTATTGGTTACATGTTAATCCTCCACAAACATTGTTACGTAAACATGTTTATAAAATTCCACGGCAGCAACCCAACTACCTATGAGTCTTTCACAGATATTTACTCTGAATTATATCAGTGCAACAGTTGTATTGTGAAATTTAGAGCTTCAAACATTGTAAGTGACATAATTCTAATTCGTAAACCGTGTGCAAAACTGCTTTGCATACTTTACATTATTTAGTAGGGCACAGTTATACGACAGCGTTACATATTGCATAATGTTTTAACCTATAAGTTATTGGTTTGGTTTGAAATTCGCGGAAGTTGATTTTACGTATATTTTATAAATACAATTACAGACACTAACATCTGAGATGCAGTAAAATTGTGCAAAAATAATAAACACGTAAAATATATATATATATATATATATATATATATAACATGGCTGATAGAATGTAATAATGACATACCTGCTAGAACTCTGCCAAGCAAATTTTCACTATCCTGAGACATGAATGGGTCCATTTCCTGGGCACAATTTGCGTCTACAGGCTTACAGTCTTTCACAGTCATCGTGAGTCACAATGGGTCAGCTTACAGAATCTTCTTAATCAGATATTTAGCACAACAGGAAAACAGTTTGGGATACACAAAAAAATAAAATATCAGCTTCCGCTGAAACTGTCTTATTCCATCAATATCCTGTACTGTGAAGATGTCCTTTGACAGGGAGAATGCAGTTCATATAACAACACACACTGAGCATGATGATTGTACTTGTATGTGTATCATCATAATCCACAAATCAATAAAGTGTTTTTCTTGGCACTTATTATCACACGTCGTTGATATTATCCAGAGAACTCACTAAAATCTCACCTAAAACACTTCCGAATTCACACGATAAGTAATTCCTCAAGAAAAAAAAACATAAACTTTTGTTTAGTACAGCAAAAGATCTTGAAGCAGTCCTGTCAAAAATACTGTGAGTCTCAAAATTCAACCATTCCTGCAACAAATCCCCCTGCAAGACACGCGCCAAGATTTTGGCAATGATAATAACGTTGGCACGGATGCTGTTCAGGCGAAGATGACAATCTTGTCTCGTGCATTGGCCAGTCGCTAGGCGCGCTACTGGTGCTGCTGAGGCAGGCGAAAGTAACAGCTGAGTGTATAGACTCGCCGTATCGCCTGCTTGTTAAAGGCTGCCTTTAACACTGAGCCGTGCAACACAAACTCTCTCATGGCTTGGCCAGTGAGTGACACACTAACTCACTTCCCGACCGGGGGGGTCAACAACCAGAACGCTCGCTACAATACACTTTTACTTGGGGCCTACATTCACATCTGTTCTTGTAGAGGTTTGTTCACGCTAGACATGTGGGAGAAGTCGAGGGTGAGAGTGAATCTGGTCATCAAGAGACAGAAAACGAGAGCATTAGGTGGATTCTTGGAGGGGGATAGAAAAATATTCTACTACACACACCTTCTGCTTTCACTTTTTTACATGTTGACACGCTTAAACTGTTACACATCCTCACAAACTGAGTCGGTGCCCTAAATTTATTTACCATTAAAAAGTGAACATGCATTCGTCTGCGGTCCCGTAAATGAAAAAAGAGTTTCCTTGTGAACATGTAAATGCAATAAGTTTTACTTTCGTAATTTATCATCCTCGATGCTGAACGTCACTGATTGCAGTTTACGTATTAATCGATATATCTTCCATATATTTCACTCCTCGATGCTGAACGTCACTGATTGCATTTTATTAATCGATATATCTTCCAAATCTTTCAGTCGGGGTGATTAGCATAGGATTACAAAGTTCAATGGGGAAACAAAATGTCCTGGGAGCGGCACAAAATTAAGAAAATCACTGATACAACGCACTTTGAAAATCTAAATTTAATTTTAATACACATTTCTCTAAGTACTCAAGGAGCAGAGTCTGACGTTGGGACTCTTCAAGTACAGCAGAGACTTGCAAAAATTCTATTTCCACAAATATTTAACTGTGAGGCTAATAAGGGATTGGCCAAAATGTTAAAAACTTTTTCAGATTGGAATTTAAAATGTAGCTTGAAAAATACGAAAATGATTTTTAAGAAAGGAGAAAAATAAGAAGCATTAGATATGGTTTATGAACGATCATGTAAGTACATTATTGTAGCAGAGGAACATTGTTTGTGTTTGGTATATTTTCAATTTACCATGTAAGTAATTTTAACCTAACAGGGAATAATGCGACAAACCGAAATCAACACATGGGAGGTAACAACGCGGTGCGCTGTCATTTTGTTATGTCATGCTTTGTGACTGCAATGGTTCGCCCGCTGTCCGAACCCCGGATGACAATCAATGAGGGCGAACAGTACACGTGTCACTGCCATACCAACATACAAAACGATACCTGGGAACCCTATTCTTTCTATGAATCAAAAACTTCCCAGCCTTTTTAGCAACTTTCACTAAATTATTCTTTCTATCCACTTTCACCTTCGTGTCGTGTACTATCTCGAATTATAGGAGTCACCCCAGAGGTCTGGGTCTAATCCGCAGTCGTGCAAAATGATGGCAATAATTTGCACTTCAGATCAAATTGCATTCGTAAAGAAATTAAGATCGTACTAAACTTTGGGGGGGGGGGATACTTACTATCATTCACTTAAAAATCTTTACTCAACTTGTCTGCTGTTTGAAAATGTAAAGAATAAAATTTATAAAATTGTGAGTTCTCTGGGTGGGAAACTTGGTCTGTTACACGAAGGGAAGAATTCAGATTGAAGGCGATTAGGAAATGGATGATGAAGGGACCGAACTTAAGAGGGAGAAAGTAAAAGGAGGTCAGAGAAATGAGAATACTTAAATTATTTATTTTATTTTATTTCTTTATGTGACTGGCAAGGGCAGAAATGCCAATTACAGGAAAGCCCAATAGGTATAATAAAATGCAAATAATAGGCCTACAATAAAAACACAGACAACAGAGAAACAGGGACCAAGTGTACAAAACAAAGTGACGTGTCTACGCAAAATAAAAGTCTTACTTTTGTTTAAATCTTGTCAGTCTAATCACAATAAAATTCCTATTAAATATTAAAATATTAAATTTAAGTTTATATAATTTTATACACCTGAAGATGGTTCTTTTAGAACTGAAACATGTCGTGTAAAAAGTGATGTTCTAATGTAAATCGAACATTTCGATAGAGAATATCATTTAATATATTTTAAATATTTAAATGTTAATTATGGTAATATTTTAATATTTAATAGGAATTTTATTGTGATTAGACTGACAAGATTTAAACAAATATATATTTATCACAATATCACGCAAATTTATCATCTCATAAAAGTCTTACGTTAATTACTGTGTCATTGAAAAAGTGAAACATTTAAGTAAGCGAAATGCAGATTTTGTTCGTGCAGTATGAGTTAGCACAGCTTCGTAATTTTCACTATTCACAAAGTATTATTAAGGTGATCGAATCAACGATGTTGAGATAAATACAGAATCTTAATAGGAAAATCTGAAACGAGACCTGCCTGTACTTAGACATGAGAGTAATATAAAAATGGATCATAAAGAAATATGTTATGAGGGAATTGAATTTATCTAGCACATGATAATGACAAATGGCGGGCTTCTGTGAACATAGTTTTCAATATTGGGTTTCACAAAAGGCTCGAAATATCTTGATCAGCTGAGCAGTATTAATGAGAATGTTTCCCGAAACAAAATTTAATTTGCATAACATTTAACAGTAACGTATTGGTATTGTAAAATGTTTTATATTATATTTCCTCTTGGTAAATTTAATGATTTTAAGTTAAATGGTGAGTCCCTAAATAATAATAAGGAAAAAAAAACAACATCGAAGGCGTTTTCAAGTACGCCATCTTCATTCTAGGAAATAAATTTAAGGCGATGGCCGAAACTCGAATTGGATACCTCCGCAGCATAAACCATAATTCGAATTTCATTATAAGAAAATTGGGTTAATGAGTAGTTCATTTTTCGACTTTGTGCTCGGTTTCACTTGAAACAAAGCAAACAATCTATAACAAAATGAAATTGTAATTTGTTCACTGTTACAGCAATAACGTGATTTCACGATTCTATGTTGACTTTTGCGTAGTGTGTTGCATAAGCTGATCGTCATCCTAACCCACTATTCGCGCTGACGTCCTGTTACTATCAGTTTAAACAATACAATAGTGTGGCGAAATGTAATGCTAATGCAATAACTGGACAATTTATTAAATAGTATTATAAATATTTCCTAAAATATATACTTTAAAGACCAGTCAGATTAATGTATTAATCTCCAAAACATCGTCGGAAAATTATACCCTAACCGATAACGTTGGGAATTTTTAAAGTTGACATACATTACATTTTCATTCGATATTGACTACGCTGAACTTCGATTTAAAACTAGACGGTATTAAAAATGTTTCACTGGAAGTCATTTTGTGGTTGTTTCATGAATTTTTTTCTGAACGTTTCGAGTTGTCGAGTTTATGTAATGCACAGAGCAATGGTTATTGCTAGGCAGTTATATGAGCAGTATCTGCTGGATATGTGTCTCGAATGGAAAAATGGAAGATCGAACAGAATATTAATGGGAAACACCTTAGAAATCAACCATTTTGAACATAAAAGTCAACTTGAGATATGGGATGATGTAACATGCTAAGAATCATGTCCAATGACTGGGTTTACTCCTGAATATTTTAAGTATGATGCTTTACATTTATCCAGTTATAAGAAAAAACAAGATAGAAGTAGTCCGTTGGACTTCGACCTTCTGGGGCACAAAATATTTTCAAGTTTAAGAGGCCCCAGACATTCAAAAGTTATAATATACATTATTACCATTGAGAAAACCAAAATTATATCGTTCACTCGTAAAACCAACAGCATCCATTTTAATTACATTGTTAGTGACTTTTTAATCTTGCGTACTAATTGTATAAATGATCTCGGTGTTTTGTTAGACAGTAAACTGTATTTTCACTGTCATGTAAATTGTGTTCATTCCCAGGCACTAAGGACCTTAGGGCTTATTCGTTTTATTACTTATAATTTTTCCTCTCTAGACAGCCTTGTTGTTTT